GTAGTCTGTCAAACACAACGTGCGCAAAAATGTACAAAATGCTAAGTGCGCAGTTGCGCTTGTGCAACAAATTTGTGTCACTGCCGTTGCAGATTATACTGTCCAGGTGAGAAGGAAAAAGCGCTTACTCAAGGCAATCTAAAGCTGCACTTTGAACCCGAATAGGTCTCGGCCGTTTGCTAAATAAGAAAAACTGTATCATGTCATTGACGAGTTCAGACAACTATTTGTTCTCATTTTAGGATGTATGAACTTTTGAAAAACGTCTCATGATGCTCAGATGTTTGAGTCATACGTCGGTTACCAATGGCTGCCGGGAACATGTTGCTTGAAATCCTCTGCACGATCCGGGACCAACCAAAAGGCTAAAATATGACACTAATTCGATGGCTTCTTTTTGTTTGACTCATTCGCATTGAAGCAATTCCGGGGATGGCATTCGAGGCCGATAAATATCCACATAATGTGCTATTCCAGCTTGTTCTGTAAGACTTCCTAGCCACTTGGCTACTTTGTAAAGCACTGACTTGCCTTGGAGATGGTTACATTGTCAAATTTTCCAACTGTTCCACGGTGATTTCTTTGAAATCCATGTGAGTGACTGAGGTTTGCTGCACTTTTTCAACTTTTCAAGATGTTTACCAAATATAAATGAATTATAACCACTTGTTGCTTGTAGGCATGACTAGCAAATGCAACGACTGAAATGTCAATTATCCTCAAGACTGATTTTGCTATTTGCAAGTGTCTGACTGAAATGTCAATTATCCTCAAGACTGATTTTGCTATTTGTCAAGTGTCTGTTTTTTTTTGGTTTGGCCCGAATGTCATACACGGTTATGTAATCTAATCCGAGCACGAAAATAGCTCGGTAAATATGCTGTACACTGGACTAAATAACCAAACACCCGTTACGGATAGGCTGAGCCAAAACTGGACAACATCCCTTCCATGATTTCGGAACAGCGAGTATGATGCATTAAATTCATTTATTTACTAGAGGTATTATCAGCAGAGTATGCTCGCTTGTTTGGACAGAAGAAGCTCAAATATTTGCCAGATGTCGTGATTCAAGTGGTTGCACAAATACCAGACAATACTGTTGCTCTCATTACAACCCTACGACACAGAACACGAAGATTCCTTGGCATTTTCTGAATAGCACAATATTTTATTGGCCTTCTGCAAATTCCTAAGTATTCTGACCATTAGGCACTCAAATCCAAAATGATGTTTAAAAATGAGCTAAATAGCTTATATACAGGCACTTCACCTGTTAATCTATATGATTGTAAAAGTGCTTGTTATGCCGATGATCTGGTGAACCGTGCAAACTCATTCTGCTAAAACGTACGATGCCTTTTGTTTCCAGATTGAGTTTTATAGTATTAGACTCTCAACAAAGCCGTGGTCGGAATAAAATTTTCCTAGTTTTATTACCTGAACTGTACGTTTCGGTTATTCATGAGGTTTCATGTTAAGTGTTTTTGATAACTGCTGTTCGTCATTTATCCAGCCGAGTCTGTAGCTGAGGTTGCTAATTTTGTTGCGGTGAAACTTTCTTTTTGGCAAACTATCCGAAAACTTGGTAAAGTCTGGATAAATAATCAATTTTTGTGCAAGCCAAGCAGCAAAAAATAGCTAAAATACTGTTCACTAAGCAGGTGAATGTATCATGTATGAACTAACATAGAAAGATTTGTGCTCCGTTTAGTTCGAGTTCACTTAGTGCAAAGCGAATTCACCTATATAGAAAAAAACACACTCTACGAGACAGCCTATATCCCAGCGCACTTCATCAAAACTAAGTTATTATAACCGAAACTTTGCATTGAGATGCGGAATTGTTTCAAAATAAGTCGAGACATCTATACACGACACAGCTGTATGTGCCGGGTGTGCAATGTAACTGCTATAAAATATTTAATGAATCCAATATTTAATGCCTCAAACACTTGTGACATCGTATTTTGATTTTTTAAAAATAAAAACGGGCACATCCCCTTCCAGAACCCGACAAATTTAGTACATTTCGGTTTCGAAGTTTTGAGGTGACCGCATGCCTTGGATCAACAATCAAGGACGATAAATCTAGCAAAATAGGTTTTTCTAAGTTGTCTCGGCCTTTAAGTACCGATTACTAGTAAATACGTAACCAAATTTAAGCCCTGCAAGCTTACCACTCAAAAGCGGCCAAACCTTGCAGTGTTGCTGTTGAGAACACGTTTTTTACATTTACGCTTTTAACCTTGTCTTTACAGGCGCTATTACTGTTCCTATAGAATGGTCGACATCTGAAACTTAACTGGTCATAGCTTTCAATATTAGTTATTTTTTCCAGATTAACATACTTTGGCCTTTCACCTTCAACTTTCACTAAATAGAAAAATGCCACTATAATGCTGACGGAAATGATGACCAAGTTATTTGATAAGGTGGTAATGTATATATCTTCTGAAGCCAATTTTTGATTCGTTTGATTGCGGAAAGTGACCATATGTAGGGGTATGGTACATCCTGCGTGACTAGCAGGCCTAGAATAATTCTGTTCTATCTGGCAAAGAGAAGGGATACTCTAAAACACTACGATGATCAAACATTTAGCTTGTGAAGAAGCTAGGACAATTAAAAACATCCAGCCAATGTCGCTGAGTACCTCACATACACAAACATAACTGAATGTTTTTGACTTGAGCATGAAAATCAGGTAAACTCAAGGATCTCTAAGTTTAAGACAAACAAGAACAGAAAGAAGAACACTTGGAGGACTGCAATTCTTAGGCAACAGTAGATATCAGGTGCGAAAAACAGTAATTGAAAAAACGAAAGAACTGAGCCAGAAGCTGTTTACGATTGGTGACCCAGATGTTACTGAAATTAGCTGAGGTGGAAAAATGGAGGTCTTAGGATAATACGGTGAGGCGTATGTCAACTCCTACGCATCAAATCTTTATTAAAGCGCGTAATGCAAAAACTCTACGATAACTATGATTAACTTATTTAGACCAAAATGGAGCACGATATTTAAGCTATACGGTTTATCGATTTTTACTTTTCAAAGAAAAAATCGTGAAGTTTTACGTAAATATTCGCATGCCAACCGTTCTTCAATGGTACATATATTAACCATTTAAACACTCTGTGGAACATGTGGACGTGAGGCTTGTTTAGTAAGAATGATGTTTTTCGTTCCGTAAATGTATTAAAAGTGACGAATTTACAATAAAGTTCAAAAACATACGAAGTGGAGGACAATTCAAAATCCATTCTGAAATGTTCTTGACGCATTTGTTCATCAATCGATAAATGTGCCTGTGGAACATGTGGACGTGAGGCTTGTTTAGTAAGAATGATGTTTTTCGTTCCGTAAATGTATTAAAAGTGACGAATTTACAATAAAGTTCAAAAACATACGAAGTGGAGGACAATTCAAAATCCATTCTGAAATGTTCTTGACGCATTTGTTCATCAATCGGATAAATGTGCCAACCGCCTCTATTTTTGAATCCTGATATACTATAATGGAAAATGTTGGTAGATCAGGCAGCCTAGATGGTCGTTCGATAGTTTGTTGTTCTGGGCAATTCTGTTGCAAACGTTTCATCGCCGGTTGATTGGACATCATCAGTGCCTTATTGGGGAGTGCTACAACCAATAACCCACCGCTATGAAGCCCTACGTTCCCCAATAACGCGCTGATGATGTCAACTGCACCATTGGTGAAACGTTAGCAAATGAATTGCCGAGCTCAGCGAACAAGCCAACGACAAGTTCTGATATTCCTAATGTCCATGCATTATAAAACACGAGTTATAAACATTCCAAACCATAGAAAGTGCAATCAGTACAGGACTGCTCTGTCTGACATCCGATGAGGAACTGAGCAACTGGGGCAACAAATGATTCCCCGATCGCCTCACTTTAAACGCATTATCATCGATATCCTTTGTAACACCGAAATTCAGTGCATTTTGCTTTGCGCACTGTTGCCGTGCCACTGACGAACAATCACGGTTGAGAATAATTTAGTTTTATGGGTTTGAACGTTTATCTCTCTTGGTATGAGACATAAAGGAACAAAATAAGATAACAAGTTATCTGGGAGCAGAATGGAGTACAGCAAAACTTTGCGTAATAAAACAGCTGTTTCAAATCAATGTAGACCCTCATTCTTCCAAAACAACCTTACTTTGCGTCTCGTTTGTAATATACTACAAAGGTTGTTAACACTGTGGACCAACGAGTAAATACATTTTCTATGTAATATTACGGTTCATCGGTGGACATAATGTTTCAAAGCTCAATTTCAAACTATTCCGCAAAATACAGATTTATGTTGGTCAGTATCGTTTGCGCATAAGGACTGCAACTTATGTGACTTTGTTGAGTTATGAAATTGCAGAACAGAACATTAGTTTATCACTTTCAAAGAACTGAACATTTTTCCGGAAAAAAATAAATCCACAACCGGATTCCAGCTGATGGACATACGTCACCATGGTGTTGAAATGCAAATGGATTTGGATAACTTTGATACCAAGACCAACCTCGTGGGTATATCATGTGATACAAACTGCCCTAGAACAAACTAACGTTTTTGAAACGGAAGATTCTCAGCTAGCTTCGTCCATTACACAAGTGGGAAGATGCACAGGTGCTCTGTGACGTGCATCATCATTAGCACATTCAGTAAGCCTGGCAAACAGAACACGTTTTAGCGAGTATTTGGACGGTCGTTTTTGTGGCGCCATTTTCTTCATAAAACAGTCGCTATAGCATTATCGTCACAAAATCTGTCCTGTGTGTTAGAGGCCTGCAGTACGAAGACGATTGTAAACACACTGACCGTACTGACCTGGAGAATCAAGGGCACAGCGGTTATCCTTCAACTGACGCTTATTTTGTGATTCAAAAGAGGACAATCCAGGAGCAGCGTATTACCTTTCAAGTGATTTATCTGGATGGTTACCTTAATTTCACAATCCCTTTTTTATTTGTAGCGTGACGCTGCACAGTTCACCACCATGTCGGAATACGAATGGGGCCACACGCTCGTACAGTTCCGCAACCACACACTGGAAAACTTAAGACCACACACATTCTATGAATTTGGAATGAACCTGATGTTCAACAATGGTACTGTGAAGAGGTATCCCGATAAAGCTTCTGGCATCACTTGCGGATGTAAAACTCACGGTAAGTCAATTCTGCTCCTTTGTTCCCCAGATAGTCAAAATCTTATGGGCTAGGTTTGGTAAGAAATTTACGTAAACCCTTCCCTTATGTTTGAGATCAGTCAAATCAAAATCCAGTAACAGGCGCAATTTTTTAGTTGTTCTTTCAGTTTTATCAGTTAGAGACAATTTTTATCAAGTTTTTCCGGCAATTCCCGATGAATGCAACTCTGCTTTCGTTGGGAGAATTGCTGGTTCTCCTGCAGGATGTATTAGGAGTCATGTGTCCTCATAAGCAACGTTGTTATCTCCGTAGTCCACCCAGGCTACATCCAACTTCGAAATTTTTATGATTGCTTGCCCTGCAACATCATGATAGGTTATCTACGGTAAAGCTTAGATTTCCTTACGCTGGTTGTTAACTTCTACCACACAAATTCAGTTTGTTTTTGAGTAAATTCACCCTGGTTTCTGGTCTTACATTTTGGTGCCAGTTAGGTTTTATGAGCTCTTAGAGGCAAGGTGGTTACTTCCCCAAACTGATGTTCTGTGCCCATGCTGAAGTGCCCAAGCACGCGCTGCTACTTGTTGGGACTACAATAAAACTTTTTCACGTGATTTGGTCTAATGACTGGCTCCATCGATTGGCTATAGACATTGCGCATTTTCCGGCTTTATTCGGGCATGCGACGAACTTGGCTTCGAGCGAAGGATAGCGAGTAAACAGAAGAACCAATTAACATTTTTAGAATCTACTTGTCTGTTTACAAATTTTCATTACATCGAATAGACATACATAGGACATAATTAATTCACGCATCCAATATTGCTAAATCAGCACTCCTATGCTTTTGATACTTGTTCCATTCTCTCAGGGAGATTAATTGAGATTTATTGGTACAGCAAAACTTTTTGTCACAAACTGTTGTTTGCCATTTGTAAACTTACAGACGCCGGTACAAAAATAAAATACTGGGAAGGACGAAATATTTGAGCAATGGAGCTTTTGAATTATCTCTAATACAAGAATGAAAGCAAGACTCAGTTCCTATCACGTCCCCAGTATACTAAATATCCAACCTGGACTATATTGGTTCCGCCAGCGGTCTAGCCTAAGCAGACTAATCTACTCAAAATGGGTATTCTCTGAATCTGAAATTTCGCAGGCCTTGGTTATGACCTCTGTTAATGGACTTCTGCACTCCGTGACATCATGCAAGCCGACAGATACTCCGTCGGTTGTGCCGAAATTACTGAATAAAGACAAACTATCCTGAGAGTTGTATCCTTCCAGTAAATTTGTATTTCGGTGAAAGACGGACCTCAAATAAATTTCGGTTAGCTCGCAAGATACAGAGTTTACCAATCGAGTCGATTTATCGTAAGATTGTCTTTCTTTCCTCCATCGGTCAAATTAAGACAGTGTTATGTTGACATTCATTTTATTTTACTCGGAACATTCAAAACTTGTTAGTGAGCAAGAACAAAACTCTTGCGCAGTGAACAATTTTGATAAGGCAGATGAAATTATTGTTAGTTTATCATAGCACTCTGGGAACGCACGTTTACCATATTTACAAAACCTATGTTAATCCAATCTAATGGGTTGCACAAAATCGGAAATTGCTCAAAGTGAGAAAAGTTTAAAACAACTGGCGTCCACTACAATTCGTTGGTTCTGAATACCACTTGCATTTTTCAGTATTTTCCTCAGTTTGACAAGTCTGTACCAACTAAGTCTGTATACTTAAATGGACGGTTGTTCTGATGGCAGTACAAATTTCACAGGTCTAATCTTGTGATTAACATTGACCGAAATCAACAAAGGTCCGTTTCCAAATTTGATAACGGCAACAAGTTAATGTGTGATGGGAATTAAGCAAAGGTGATAAGCCTGAGGTCATCGGTCTGGGCCATCTAGTTGAAAGCTCCTTCCTGTGCTTTCCCATATCATTTTTGCTAGTGCGTGGCCAAAGTTTCGTTGATGAAAAGAAATCAAGACGAAGTTAAGACCAACTGACGCGTAGTTGCTAAAAATCTACGCATATATTCGTAGGAGGTTAGAAATACTTGGGCTTGACCTACACCCACTGTGATTGTCTTGCTGGATCATCCTAAGTTGATTTTAACATTTGTGTTTAGTTTAAGCAGGCCTACTGATGGATGCGCGAAGGGTGTAGTTTATTCAAGCGTCGCATCACACGACTGCATAATGATATTCATGACCATATGCATATAAATATAAGACCATAATGCAGTATTCCGAATAACTTTATCTATTAGCTAGGATTTGAATAAATGATACAGTACTCCGAAGTGTAAGTTACCTAAGGCCAGCACTTGTGATACGAAACGTATTATGACTTAGATAAATATGTGCTTCAGTTCGCTTCTATTGCTCACAAATCCGTCCTGAGTGTCAGATCTATATACAAGTTTCAGTTAACCGGACAACAAATCTTCCAGGCTGCATTGCGTATCTAATATGCATCAGTAACAGAGATTTTTAGAATTTGATGGAGTAATTTAACCAAAGGCTGGGTAGCTGTTCAGATCGAGAGGATCCTTTGGACTCCTTGGGAAAACACATGCCGATAATCCAGGTACTTTTTGCAAATCATTCACATTGTAAAATGGGACTTGAATGTTGCTTGCAGTCTGAGCGAAAACCGTTCTCACGCCAGTCAGAGATTGTTGTATGACGCCGACTGTGAAAAATAATCACTTTCAAGATTCTCCAGACTAGTTTTGTTTTTGTTTCATGGGTTGCTTGAAGCTCGTCTGATGATGGTCGATTGTAGACCATGCTTCCTTCGAAAATAAGTAAGTCCCTTTGAAAGTTGGTGGGCAGGATTCCTCGTATAACTAATATTATCTTGAGTCAGTATCTTAAAATTGACAGGTGTTCATTAAAATATTGTATCGCTTGTGCGAAACGTTATCGACCAAATTTTGATACATCTATCTCGATATCTAAATTTTGGTAATGTTCACTCTATTGTGTGAGATCGATTATCCTGTCCAGAATTTGGGGCCCATTTTTGAGAAGAATTTTTTAACGATTTTTTAGCGATTTTTTGTCAAGCAAAAGTGATATATGTTTCAAACCCAAATTAGGCTATATCCTCTGCAGTTCCTGTCTCGAATGGACCATAGTCACCATTTGTAACTTTTTGAACAATGTCAAGCTAGAACGTATGTGCAGACCATCGTTCATTTTTATCACAACACATCATTTTTAAAAATTCGGGGAAAAATCTAATATACTACTTGAGTGTTCCTTATATGTCTGCGATTGCCAGATACATTTATATGTATATGTCCTGTGCAAACTATTTATTCCTCGAAAAAACAGTATTCCTATAAAGCTCAGGTAGTTAGAAATTCAAAGTATGCCTCCAACGACCGATGAGCAGACGCAAGCATTTTGGAATTGAACCTTGTTTTGTTTGGGCTTCCGCAAAAACGTGACCTCGCAAGGCAAAGTGTAGTTTTTTGGCATGGCAACAGCATGGATCAGAACGATCAAATGAGGCTTAGAACGGGCAATTTTTTGTTTATGTTCACTGTCATAATTAAAGAAGGTCGCTAGGCTAACAGATTCAGTAAAGGTCTTTAATGAAGTAGGCCAATAAATACTCAACTACGTTCATTTTCCCACAAAAGGTTAGAATTACCTCGCAGAACGGAACGGTGTAGAGGTTGCTCTTGAAGTCAAACATGCTCAAGAATGCACACAAGGATAGCAGTTTAACATAAAACTGTTGTTGGCCATTTGGAAGACTTAGTGACCGGTTCCATCTTTCGAGCACAAACTCCGCGCGATACATGTAAATGGTACCTTGTGATACAAAAATAAACTTCCCTCAATTGTCGACCTCACTTTTTCCATTCTTTTACCCAGCACCCATAAAAGGTATCACATTGATAACAATCGCACACCTGTGGATCCATGATTTCGGCATGTCCAAAAAAATTCATAGTGTGACCAAGGATGTCAAAAGCACTAACGGATTCAACCATTCCAAAGGGTCTTGTTTTGATAGCTTTTATTCCGAAAATTCGTCGATTAATTTCAACCATGCCAGTTTTATTAAGACGATCAACACTGGCAAATCATACAAATATTAACTTATCCTGGGTTAATTTATGGTAATCCAAATAAAGACTAGTCTTATTAAAAACACGAGGTTCAAAACAAAAAAGGTATACGGGAAGTGAATTTCTTTTTCCACACTCATCTGCCGAGAAATTTGAATATATTTTATGTGTTGGATATCTTTCCCAGAATTGACTTTTTGATTTATGACCAGAACTTGCCTAAATGCTACGGAAAAATTATTTCGAAGAGAAAAATGTGAAGACATTTGAACTAAATTTGTCTCGGTACAATATTACATTGCTCACGCTCTACTTGCAGCATTATTGGTAGCTGAAACACACCAAACACAAACCAAACGTTCCAAACACAAAATCACTCCTGAGGACCTAAAATTCATAAAATTAAACATCGGCCAAGGAAGGCAACTGTATATTACAAAACGGATAAATTTGGATACCCTGAAGAAAAAACGTATGCGTGGATCTTCTTGGGAGCCTTATAGCCTTTGTAATGGTTTACTGAATAGATGGAATATCCCGCAATATTTTATTTACCTTGCGGCTATCTAATATTTAAAATGTGTCAGATAATATAACCAGTACCATAACGTTTCATCTCTGGCGCTCCAAAAAGTTACTTGATATAAATGAACATACCTACTCGAGCACTATTTCAACATCCCAAGTAATGGTTAGCTTATTAATGCAGATATTCCCCATGTACCTTTGATGCTTTACCACAGGAATTTATGTTTGACTCAATGAGAAAAAAAGAAGTTTTACTATACATGTTATTTTTCAAAAGTAATTCCGACACTTCTCCCAACGTCGGTATGAATTTCAGCAAACTTGACCTTTCTCTTGGTATGCGGCTGCTGACATTCTTTCACTACTAGAAAGTAAGAATTTTCGTGCACACTA